TGTGAACCCTCACGTTTGCCTTTCTGGTCTTTTCCTCAGCCATGGTTGTTGCCACTGCTTCCCAGATTGCATTTGGATGTTTTGGAGCTGGCACAGCTTCACGTGGGTACTTCCATAAAGGCTGCCTTTTAGGAGAGACTTAGGCTGTTTATCCATGAAAAAAATGCTACCATTGCAGCCCAGGAGCTTCCCTCTCCCCGCATGTCCCAGGGGCCTGAAGGTGAAGGTGAATTCCTGTTTATTTCCTTAAGCAGCTCTATTCATAGCCTTCAAAAGCTGCCAAGCCGCATCTGTCAGGCCCAAGAGGACTCAAAAGTGCATCTTAGGTAAACACCAGGAGCAAGGTGGGACTGCCCAGAGTTAGCGGTTCTCCCTTGGAAGCCTTATTGCATCCTCTGAAAGCCACAGGCACATCTCCAGTGCAGGGTCTCCAGCAAAAATGAAGCCAGGCTCAGACACCAGACTGCAGTTCAGGCACACAACATCCCCATGTCCAGGATTAATAGACAACAGCCGGGGAAGAGGCAGGGAGGTTCTTTGGGTATTGGAGATACTGGGTCTGGATGTGCCCAGGTTGTGCAAAGGAGCTTCGAAGTGGATGAAGACCTGTCCCATGTGCTGGTGCCTGGTGTGACAGCTCCAGGGGACTCTGCCATTGGACATGGTGGGGATCTACAGCCAGAGTGGTTTCTATCTGCCACTCGCTCTGGGTGTAGCTGGGGACAGGCACAGATGAGATGTTCAGACCTGATGCCCACAGGAGGCACCGAGGGCAGTATCTGCAGCACGTATTGCTCTTTACTTGCACCACTTATTTTGCCCCTGCTTCTCTGGGCTCAGTTTGGTTTCAGAGAGAACTGATAGGCTGCATCCTGCAGCCCCACATGCTGCCAACTGAGTGAGGTGATCATTGCAGGGATACAGGACATAAGTTGGACCAGAGACAGGAGGACAGTGTGAGAGCCCACGCACAGCATGGAAAGAACAAGCCATCCTACAGCAAGTGTGTTCTGTGTCCTGGCTCCACAGCTTGACTCACCACAGAGCCATGCACAGCTGGATTTCACCCCCAGCCCCGCAGACCTGTGGTGTACACTGAAAATCCACAGTGATATCCACTGCTCCTTGACCATCTGCTTCTGACAGAGCCAGCCCCCATCTGCCTTCATTGCCCACTGAGCCAGCTCACCCCCAGGCCATCTCAGAGCACATCCAGGCACTGGAAGGGACGTTGGCTGTGTTTTGGTCTGCTCCATCTGAACCAGGCATAAGTCCTACTCCTGAGCCCAAAGAGAGAATCCCATCCCACACAGGACAAACACAGCCACTCCTGGACAAGTTCCCAGGACAGTTTGGGTTGATCCTTCCCTGAGCAGCTGGTGCTTTCAGTGTCCATGCATGTGAGTCTAGAGAGCAACAGGCTTTCTGCCTCTGAGCTGCTGCTGAAATGGAAAAAGCCAGAAACCCTCCTGCAGGACCTGCTGACACACTCCCAGATAGCAGGAGAGCTGCGACATTCCTCGGATAAGCAGATTCCAGTCTGCTCTGCACTTAGTCATCTCACTTGCCTTCTGCTCAGCTGGGTGCTGGGCTCCCACTCCAGCAGCCATTGCCTTTCCCCATGCTGCCCTGAGCTCAGCCTCACACCCAGCAATGAAGACAGTAAATGATATTCCCACAGCGGTTCCAGGGCATCCTGTTTATACACTTTGGGTTCATTGTTTTGCAGCAGCATCCAACAGCAATTAATACAGGAACATCCTCTGCAGAAAAACTCATTAGAGAATCCCTCCCAGAGCTGAGAGGAGGAAAGACTTCTCACACCGACAGGTTGGTGACTGGGAGACAGCAGGGTTATTGATCCACACTTGTATCCCTTCACTGAGCTCTTGCTCACGTTTCTCTCCTTCTCTTGCACAACTGTTGCCCTTTCGGAGAGCACTGGGGTTTTCTCAACTGCTCCAGTCCAGATCTGCCCAACCTGGTTTAAATTGGGAAGAAGAAACGTGGATTTTGAGCTGGGGTTAGCTGCAGCTCCAACCTCAGCCCTGCAAACCCCTTGACTCTGCTGTGAACTAAACTCCCGGTTCAAGGGGTTTTGTCTTGTTTGCCATTTCCATCAGACTTTGTGTGGTTGCTTGACCTGGAAGTGAGTCCTGGGAGCCCTAGGGTGCATCAGTTGTGCCCAAACCACCCTCTGGCATGTGGTCGGAGCTGGACCTGTGAGGCCAGGAGCAATGGGAAGGCTCTTGGGGCTGATGGGGGCCTTGGGCAATCTCCTGCCCAGTGCTCCAGACAGCATAGGAGAGCCTTGTAAGCATGTGTGAGGTCCACTTTTCCTCCTGGCAGCCTCACACCAAAAATCTCCTCTTTGACAACCCCACTAAGCCTTGTAAATGTGGAGAGGACTTCTCAGGCCTTCCTCTGCAAGCTCTGGAGCTTCTTAAAGCTGCTGAGATTAAAGAACCAGCCACTTGCTCTGCACTCATTTCCCTCTCTGTGCAATCCCCCTGCATCCCACTGTTAACAAGGCACACCTAGTGCTGGCACTGTGCCCCTCACAGCGTACAGGACCCAGCTGTCCCCACCATGTACATGGAGGACCATGAGGACCCTCACTCACACCCCCCCTGGGCTCACCACCAGGAGCTCAAGGGCCTTTTCCAGATGTGGCTGCATCACTGCACAGGCTGCTTTTTGCTTTCACCCCAAACCAGGGTTGAAGCCGCCACATATATAAAGAAATCCCTGTTATAATTATCTCCCTTGCAGTGTCATTTGTCTAAGCCCTTAGAAGAGGGCTTAGCTCCGGGCTATGGTGAAGAGCACTGAGCAATTGCCACGTTGTCAGTTAGAAAAGTTGTGGTTTCTTTTCTTTTTTCCTTATTTTCCCCCTCCCTAAAATTTTTTCCAGATGTCTTTTTGGCTTTTTTCCCTTCGGAGCGGTACCAGCAGCTGTGCAATTTCAATGTGAGCCGTGACTAATCCAGCGCAGAGAGCATTCAACGGGAGCACTCAGCTCCTCAGGGTGTGAATCAAGCACATGAAACTTTGGCTTTAGGGATATGTGACCTTTGGAGTCAAACTGGGCCTACGAGTGGCATTGAGCTGCATGTGGGAGCTATGGACACCGGTCGTGGGAGAAGATGCTCCAGATTTCACAAGTAGTTTGCTGTGCTAGAAGGACCCATGGGGTCTTAGACACAAAACTATGCTTCACATGGACCAGGGAGTATTGGGTGTTTATGGATGTCTTTGTGAGTGATATCAATAATCACCTACCAGCGCTCAGGGGTGGCTTTTGAGTGGTGTGTAGCCAAGTAATAGGTGAAGAAGACTGTCTTCTCTTTGCCAACAGAAGCTGCCTGATCACAGAGCTCGACCATCTCACTGGGGAGCGATGATGGTTCTCACAGCCACCTCCACTATCTTTCCCCTCCTCTTTCCCTTTCTGTTTTGTTTGGTTTTTGTTTCTTGCTGGCCATGTGGCTATTGAGTTTAGAAAGAAACATCTGCTCCTTTCACATGCAGCAGAGGTGCTGCAAGGCCGAAAGAGGGGTGACCTGATAAAATAATCACAGATCACAAAGTAACAAGAATCCTATAGAGCAAGGAGCCAGCACAGCCCAGCAGCTCATTACAGGCCAGTTCCTATGTTGACATCTACAGCCTCAGCAACATCAGTGGGAAGAGACACTCAGATCAGTGTCTCAGCCCCTCTCAAAGAGTGTGCAATCAGGAGGAATAAACCCAAACCCTAGGCAGCCAAGACAAAACATGATGTTGCATTTTGTCATGGTCTTGGGTTATCCTTCACACAGCATCCACAATCACACTGCTGGTGCAAGATAACTTACCCTCAGTCTCACAGGCTACACAAGCCACCATGTTTCCAGCAGCCCCTGCAGTGCAACCTTGATCCCCTGGATGTGTGAGAGTTAGTGCCATAGGTGGATCACAAGCTGCAAAGAGCTGGACTATGTGCAGTGACTATGGACAGCTCTGTATGTCATTAGAGACACTATTGAGGAATGCCCAAATTCCAGCAAAGTGACAGCATCTCTTTTTTGGCCACTGGTTTTACTTTGCAAGCAGTGCCATGGTCATGCTGGTGCATAGAGGCATGCTGCCTGGTTCTGCCAGGGGAGCAGGTGAGCTTTAAATCCTCTTGGTCATGGTGAGATGCAAGGAGAGAGGAGCTGGGTTTTTCACTCCAGGCATGGAGAGGAACAGATGGGAAAAGTCAACCCCAAACAGCTTTGCTGTCTGCCTGCCTCTGGCTGGGTAACTCCAACTGAGTTACGATCTGTAAGGTCAAAATAGTTTGTGATGTCCAAAGACACCATTGGATTCAAGTGATCAGCAATTCTGGCTGTGGGTTTTGCTCAGTCAGTCCATATATGCTGGACAGTAGCCACAGCAGAGAGTCCAATCTGCTGAGGGTCACATCTGCCAGCCCAGCATTTCTCTGCTTAGCTGGAGCACATTTCAGACATGTCATAACTCTCCGCACTCTCTGGATCATTCTTTCCCCTCCCTTCCCGCAAGGCAGTCCCATATGGCAGCACTGTTAAAGAGAGAGGATGGAGGAACAAGAAATATCCTGCCTTTCTCTGCACCCCCCTGAGGATGGGAAATAGCAGCTCTGGGACTGAACTACACTGTTGTGAAATGACAGCAGTTAACATGTTAAGCGCAGTAGGCTAAGGTGCCAGGAGGTGCTAAAACCAAGCAGAGATGGTATTCCTCCCTTCTCCCACCGTGTTCTTAATCCGAGAGAGCCAGAGAACTGACAAACTCATTGCAGCAGTGCAGGGAGCTGCTGTGACAATGACTCTATGCAGAAGGTTGTGCTGGGGGGGCTGCAAGAGACCCCCTTGATCTCCAGCCCTGCTTGATTTCTCTGGTCTACCCCTTGGACCCAAGCTGTGCCTCAGCCCTGGGTGGGACTGCCCACTGGGGAGAGAGGGAGAGGAAGAGCCCCATTTGAAAAGATAGCGAGGAGGAGGAGGAGGAGGAGGAGGAGAGGCAGCAGGAAACCCAGCCCACCCTTTGGCTTCCTCCTGCCTCCTTCTAAAACCTGCAGACTCCTCCAGCCCGTCCAAGCGCCTGAAGTTGCCTCAGCCCCGCTGCCGGACTGCGAGGTATGGCCCGAGAGCTCCGCGTTGGCCTTTGCTGTGCTCTTTCTCCCAGCACTGGGGTCCTGATTGCCCCTCTAATGGGGGTCCCTGCTCCGGGAGCTGCTGTCCCATCCCATGGGGTGCACCCGGTGCTCGGCAGCGCATTGCTTGGGATGGGGATGTGGACGCTCCCCACCCCAAGTGTTGCATTCAGAGACCCCTCCTGTCCTTCTCTTTCTCCTCTTTGCAGCATCTCCACTCCTAAACCGAGGCTGTTGCTGTATTTCACTGCCAGGTTACTAGCTTTAGCACTTGGATGGCATCTGTAAAGATTTAACCTTCCCTAAGGTTTTTCTCTTTTCTCCCTTTTTCCCCTCTGGGTTCTCAGCTGTGGGGTATCTCCTTAGCAAGGTGTGCAAGACCAGTGTGTGCACATCAAACTGACCTGCAGAGCAAATCAGATCTAGTTACAGACCAGTCCCGAGGTGTGTTGGCAGGTGAAGTTTTACTCACCGGAGTTACCGAGGGGTAGAACAAAAGAGCTTTCGACTTCATCTCAGCATTTTTATTCTTTTCAGTGCAGCCGCTCTTGTTTCTCCTAAGAAAAAAAAAAACACCCCAAAAAGACACTCAGCTTTTTGTTCCAAGCAGACTTTGAAACCATTTCAAGTCCTGCTGCCCTGGTTTGTTTAACTCCAGCTGATCGCCCGTTAGAGAGACAGAAGCTGCAGGAGAGGAGGAACAAGGCTCTCTTGGGGTTTCTTTTTAGGTTTTAAGAACTTGGGCTCAGTCAGGCACGATTTTAGGTCCACGCAGAAGGAGTTAAGAGCTTGTTGCCTTTAAAGGCAGTCGCTGCCCTTGCCGTCCAGTGACATCTAACTCTGCTCTTTGTGTCCCTCCTCTGCTGCATCCAGCTCAGAGAAGGAACCTTCACAGGACGGGGGCTAAATTCCCACCCAAACCCAAAGGCAACTGTGTGGGGGCACCGGGAGGGGTGCCAGGGATCTGAGCCCTCACTCACCACCGGTTTGAAACAGCCCCAGACCTCTACAACACGGCAAAAGTAAATCACAGCCGTTTGTTAGGCTTGAACGGGCGAGTGTGAAGTGGACATAAAAGGCTGTCGCGTCCTGCACAGCAGCTAAAGCCAAGCCATTGTCTGTCACATAGGCAGGAGCAGGGATGCGGGCGGTGTCGGGAGGGGGAAGAGGAGAAATAAACTTTTCAGGCTTTTTTTTTCTTCCAAGCCCCTCCTTCCACAACTCTGCTCTTCCATGACTCAGCCCCAGAGGAATGTCGGCTCCCATGGAAACCCTTTCTGGGTCCTCTGGTCGGAGGGATGTCGGGGCTGCTATCGCTGGGAGAGCGCAGGGAATGCTTTGAAGAGGGTTTGCATTTTGAAGATACTCAGTGAACAGTTTCTTCTCTCCCTGCTTTGTGGGGCGGTGGGAGACCAGCTCGCTGCGTCCCCCGGGAGCCAGGGGGACCGCTTGCACTGGTACAGAAGCATCCCGGCTGCTTTTGACACTGCCACGCATCCAGACCAAGCAAAAGAGCTCAGTCAGGACAGGAAAGTGCTCTGTCGCCTGGTTTGTCCACTGAGGTGTGCAAAGGGCTCACTGGTGCACATCTGCTTGCAGCCCAGCTCTCATCCATGCTCTTGGTACTAATGTTTTCCATTATGGATGCAATTTGCAACCAGGACAAACTGTGACAGCATCAAGCCAGCACATAACACCAGTGGTGTATGAGCTCTTGCCCTTATAAAAATAACCCTGTAAGTTCTAGCGTGTTTATAAGCACAGAGCTGCTCAACCATTTGCAAGGGGAATGGGTTAATAGTGTTGTGCTGTAGATGTGCCTTTAGTGACTCTGCATGGACAGATGTGGTACCTAGATTTTTTCCCCCCTGTGTTTTACCCAGAGCGTGCAAGTGTGTGCATGAGTTAAAGGGAGCTTCACTCCCATCTAAACTTAGCCTGGCTTTCTGAGCCTGCATGCTGCATGCCAGGGCACTGCACAGGAGCCAGGCTGGTTTCTATCCTCTGCTTCTGCCCTGCCCTTCTGGGTCTCAGTGGGTGAGCTGGCACCCCCAGCAGCACCCCCTGACACACAGGGCCCTGTTCAACAGGGAGCTTCATGGGGACTCACACAAACAACTCTGACTTCAAACTGAATTTCAGCCTTTGCCTTGTCTCTTGGTCACCCATCTGCACCTTGAAAGCTATGCCCCATTGTGGGGTTTGTAGCAGAAGCCTTCTTATGGGCCGGTGCTGCCTTTACATTCAGCTGGAGGTGCTGGGGCATGTCAGACCCTGCAGAGCCTTGGAAGAGCAATGAGCAGATGGAGTGAGGGTTGGCTGCCTCCTGCATGGCCAGGCTGGGTGCTGGTGGGGAGGTGAGACATAAAGAGGGGTTTTGCCCAACAATTACCCACTTCTGCTCCTCACTGCTGGTGATGGGAGGTGGTAGCAGGGTCCCTCTCTTGGAACATGGAGGCATCTGAGGTTATCCCAGTGGCCTCAGGGAGGAGCTGTCAAAGTGGCCAGGCAGAGACTCCTCCCCACGCAAACGTGGCATCCCAAAGGGCTTATGCAACCCTGGCCATGGCCAGTGCCACATGGGCCATGCTCCACCATCCACAGAGCCTCCTTCAGAGGCTGCACCCTTGGTCCTTGGTCTCCTCCAGACCACAAAGGGTCCCAGCATAGGTGGGAGGAGAAAAGAGGGACCTATAGAACCCAGGGCACAAACTCCTCCATGCATCACTCTGGGGTGTTTTCTCCAACAGGAGAAACCTATGACGGTGCTACAGGACTGGGGTGAGGGTGGTAAAGAGCTTGCCAGAGTAGCCTGCTTTGAACTTATGGAGGTGTTGAGGATCAGCTTCAGACCTCCCTATTCCCTGTGGCTCTCTTGTTAGGGTCATGTCTGCAAAGTGCAACGGGCAGCCGGCACTGAGGGATATCCTAGACCCTGCTAGAAAGGAAAACTTTCTAAGTAGAGAGAGGTTTATGGGAGCCACAGGACCCCATTTACACAGTGACTATGAGTTGAAGTCCCCACTTAGGATGCAAGTGAGAGCAAGCATTAGAAAGGCTGCAGGCCATGGGTGCCAGGCTCTCTTCTCTCTCATCAGCAGTCAGAAGGGCAGGCCTGAGGAGGGGATGGTGACCACGGAGGCTTCTCTTTTTCATATTCAACATCCCTCTCTGTGCCTACATCATCCTGGTTTCCAGCATCTTACAAAGTGCTGGATTCTGTTGATTCCTGTAGGATACGGAAGGGTCTAAGCCCCAGCTTGCTCAAGTCTCACAGGAATACCCCTCAAGCTGCTCTGGCTGGGGAATGGATGCTGAGCTCATGGTATGGCCCAGCTGCCAGCTCCAGAGAGCATCCTCTTGGACAGCAGGACCACAGTAGGTCTATACACAGACTGGCACCATGGGCCAGGTTCTTCTGCAGCACAGCTCTGAGCTGCACAGGGCTCCTGAGCTGTTATTTCAGGACTGTGGCCACCAGACAGTGAGGAATGCCCGTGCCTTTGCAGAAGAGCCAGGGGCTCACAGACACTGCAATGTGCTCTGTGCACAGGCTCTGCCCCCAGAAGGATGTTGTTTTTCAAACAAACCTGTTTTCCCATCTCTGGTGTGAGACAGCTCTGCAGAGCGTGTTTGCTCAGACTCTTCCATGCTCCTGCTTCCTCCAAACACAACACTGGCAGCTCCGACTGTCTGCTGGCTCCTAGCAAGTATGTAATTCCCTCACCCCAGCCTACTGCATGGCCAGGCTTTGAAATTCAAAGGTTTTGGGGGGCCTGAGGAAATGATCTGGAATGGCCTTGGTCTGGAGTTGGGTCCTTCTTAAAGCCATCTTCCACATGTACATCTCCTCAAGGCTGGGCACTGACATGTTTCCACCCAAAAAGCATCAGTGAACCTCAGAGCACCTTCCAAAGCAAACAAGCCCCTTGGGAGAAGCCCAAGAGGAGCCTTTACAAGCCAGGAGATGGCAGCAAAGGAGGAGATGGCCAGATTCACTGGTACTTTTCCACCTCCCCACCACAAACCACCCCTCCAGAAGCGAAGAACCAGTGATCTCTCCTGGCAAATGCTAGAAGAGCTCTCAGCAGCCTCCAGAGTAAATAAAGGCAAGGGGAAGGGACAGCATGGACCAAGTGGGAGAGGAGGGAGCTGCTCAGCTGCAGCCCCTCTCCCCGCAGGTCCTCCATCCCACTGCACCAGCCATTCCCACCAGTTCCAGCCTTCCAGCATCCCTTGGGAAACTGCCCTCCATGCCCTGATACCTACTTTGCATGGGCAGCCTGCCGGGGCAAGGTGAGGCGTTGGGATTGGAAGGAGATTTCAGCCTCTGTGTGGCCAAACCTTGCTAAATTAGGAAGCAGAGCTCAGCCTGGCTGGTGCCCTGGCAGCACAGCATTGGCACGGTTTTATACCCAGAGAGCTGCTGTGTATGGGGAGGATGGGAAAGGGTGCACTGACAAATCAGACATCCATCCATGCTCAGGGAGAGAGAAGATGACACCTTACCACAGAATGGTTTGGGTTGGAAGGGAACCTTCATAGCTCCTCCAGTCCAAGCCCCTGCAGTGAGCAAGGACACCTTCAACTGGACCAGGTTGCCCAGAACCACATCCAGCCGTGCAGGTGGAGAGGAGGAGGGCGAGCGGAAGGGAGGCAGCAGAAGCCTTGGCACGGGGACAAGTCCCCTCACTGTCAGGAGACAAACCAGGGGTGTTTGGCTCTCCCAGCGGGCGGAAGGGAGAGGGCAGCGCTAGCTGTCAGGAGCAGGATGCCGCTGGCATATTAAGCTGCCATCTGAGCTCCTCTCTGCGCTCACACAGAGGGGCTCAATCCTGCCAAACAGGAACTGGGAGGGGGACAAGGACAGGGTGATTTCACCAGCTGCATTCTCCTTTTGGTTTGTATTGCAGGCAGTGTTCTGGATCTTTCATCCTACACAGTGCCTGCAACAGCCCAGATTCGGAGGGTGGAAAGGAATCACCCTCCTCGAGCTCAAATCACAGCATCCCAGACTGGTTTGGGTTGAAGGGAGCTTAAAGCTCATCCAGCTCCAACCCCTGCCACAGGCAGGGACCCCTTCCACTGGAGCAGCTTGCTCCAAGCCCCTGTGTCCAACCTGGCCTTGAGCACTGCCAGGGATGGGGCATATCCCAGCAGGACACAATCCCAAAGCATCCTGGATCCCTCAAACCCAGCTGGGGGACCCTAAGGTCTGAGTAGGAAAGGAAAATCTACAGTAAAGACCCCAACATCTGCGGGTGCTGGGGAAGGGAGACTGGTCCCTGATACCCCTACAAATGTCTGTGTCCATGTAGGAAGGGGTTTTCTAAAGGAATTCTCAAGTGCCCCATTTCACTGACTCTTTGCTATCTCTTTCCTTCCTCCACTTTCATGTTTCATCTGATTGACAAACCAAATGCTGGAGTTTCATTGCTTGTACCTGGGGCTCATATCGGGGCCTTTTAACATTAAAAATTGAGGGTTGGGTCCAAAAAACTTTGACTCCTTTCCTGTGAGGAAAAGGGGAATTGCCATTTTGACTGCAGTTGTTGCAAAGGCATCCAGGAAAGCAACAGAAATCTAAACCCCTGCGGTCCCATTTTGCAAAATCAAAAGAATTTGTGTTGGAAACACGATTTAGCTTAAGGTTTTGGCTAGAAAAGCCAGCATGTGGGTCTGTAATATTGAACAGATGAGGCAGAAACAAGAGAACACCCTTTTCTAAGTGCCTGACTGCCAGCCCTGAGCTCGGCCTGGAGCCCAGCGGCACATAGTGGCCTCCTTCCTCATCCCTCCTTTTCCTCTCCTTTGTTCAGGGTCTGCTGAAAGATGAGGGCCTGGATCTTTTTCCTTCTCTGCCTGGCAGGCAAAGCCCTGGCAGCTCCGGTAAGTAGAAGGGACAATGGAGCCCCTTGCTGTCATGGTTGTCCATCTGATGTATTTGATGGGGATTTTCTTCTATAAGGAGTAAAACCCTGAGGGATGGAGGGCAACAGGGGGAGAGGAAACCCAGTGGGTCATCCCCCCCCACAGACTCCATCTCACGGTCCCTTTCCCCTACAGCAGGAGGCTCTGCCCGATGAGACAGAGGTCATTGAAGACCCCACCACAGAGGTAGGTGACTGCTCCTCCTCATCCCATCCCACCCACCACTCTGGGAAGAGCATCTCTAAAGCATGAGGGAGCAGGGGCAATGGGGGGGATGCTCTGGTACTGAGCTCTTTGTGCACCCCCAGCAGAAACAGTGACCTCTTTTGCAGGAGCCTGTGGGGGCCAACCCCGTCCAGGTGGAGGTGGGAGAGTTTGAGGAACCCACAGAGGATGTAGAGGAGATTGTCACAGAGAGTAAGTTGCTCTTCCCCTGCCCTCCAGCAGGCAAAGACATTGTCCCTTCCCTGGGGGAGCTTCAGCCACCCCTAACAGCAGGGAACTTCTTTGGGAAGGGTAAAGCACAAGGACAATGCCAACCTAGATGCACATTTAAAGCAAGAGAGGTGTTTTCTGCAGCCCTGCCATTGCGTTGTGTGACTACAGAAGGGAGCCCAGGGATAGCCTGAGGGCTAATGCAGACTTCTGGGAACCCTCACATCTTCCCAGTGCAAGAAGAGGTGCTCAGGGCTCTCCCTGGTGAAGTTCCTGTCTTCCCTCTGTGCTGAGATACCCTGGGGAGCTCGTGGGAGGTGAGGATGGGGCAGGCTCTGACTTTGCTCGCTGCCCTCTTGCAGATCCCTGCCAGAACCACCACTGCAAGCATGGCAAGGTGTGCGAGGTGGATGACAACAACTCGCCCATGTGTGTGTGCCAGGACCCCTCCAGCTGCCCAGCCACCGCCGGTGTCTTCGAGAAGGTGAGGACAGAAGCTGCTTAATGGACCAGAGCAGGGAAAGACCCCACATGGGACATCCCCAGAGGTGGGGGAGCCAAGCCAGGGTGACAGCTCCCTCTCTGGCCTCATCAGTGGTGATCAAGAGCCATTCTTCACCCCAGGAAATAAGTTAAACATCTCAATTGGAGGCTGTCCCAGCTGACTCCCCAGCAAGGCTGGGCTTCGCTGCCTCTCACACAGCATCTCCCCACCCTGTGCAGGTCTGTGGCACTGACAACAAGACCTATGACTCCTCCTGCCATTTCTTTGCCACCAAGTGCACCTTGGAGGGAACCAAGAAGGGACACAAACTGCACCTGGACTACATTGGGCCTTGCAAATGTAAGTGGAGCCATTCCCTTAGATAAGGAGACCCCTAACCCGAGCACAGTCCTCTTGCCGGTGGGCTGAGGGAGAGCCAAAGGTCCAGGCAGGCTCAGGGATGAGGTGGGAGGGCTCTGGGGCTGCATGTCCAGACACTGCACTGAGCATCCCATATGGTTTGCAGTCATCCCTGCCTGCCTGGACACAGAGCTGACCGAGTTCCCCCTGCGCATGCGGGACTGGCTCAAGAACGTGCTGATCACCCTGTACGAGCGCGATGAGGACAACAACCTGCTGACCGAGAAGCAGAAGCTCAAGGTGAGGGACTGGGGAGGGAACCTGGGAGCTCACCCCACCTATGGAGCCCAGCACCCATGGGAACCCATCAGAATGAGCTGTGGGCACCTCCTAAGGTTCCCCTTGCACCACATTCGCCTTCTGACAATGTCTCCATGGCCTCTCTCCTATGATAGGTGAAGAAGATCCATGAGAATGAGAAGCGCCTGGAGGCTGGAGACCACACCGTGGAGCTGCTGGCCCGTGACTTTGAGAAGAACTACAACATGTACATCTTCCCCGTGCACTGGCAGTTCGGGCAGCTGGACCAGCACCCCATTGATGGGTGAGTGTCAGCAAAGGATGGGGACCGTTTCCTGCCCAAGGACCAGGGTGATTTGGTGGCAGAAGGTGTCAAGGCAAGGTGGAGATGTAACACAAGCTGGATGGTGGCAGAGGCACAGGCAAAGGGACAACGCATGGAGCAGGGGCTGGGACAAACCAGGCTGGAGTAGAGGCAGTTTTACCTTCATTTCTGCAGAAAGAGAAGCCTCCCCCTGCCCCAGCTGCTCCCATCTCCTTTGGGTGTGGAGTTTCTGCCTTCTCAGATTTACTGTCCTGTAATAGTTCCCTGAAATATCTTAGTCCAAAGGCCTTAGGATAACTTCAGCAGCTGAAAGAGCAGCTGCTGCCATCGCTGGAAGCTGGAGATGGGCATGAGAGTGATCACACACCCAGATCCAAGGGATAGAGGTGAGGGGGGACCATCAGCTGCTGGCTATTTTGTGACTAGCACAGTGGGCTGCAAAAGCAAACACCAGTCCTCGACCTTCGTGACACCCAGTGGCTGATACTGGGAGGGCACTGGGACAGTGCTCAAACCAGAGGGCTGGGACCAGCGTCTTGTCCTGTCCTGGCCCCTGCACATGCCAAAGCATCTGCCTTCCTATTGGGAGGGCAGCTGGTGCTGGCAGGCGATGCACTGACCATGCAATCACCTTGCAGGTACCTGTCCCACACCGAGCTGGCCCCTCTCCGTGCTCCCCTCATCCCCATGGAGCACTGCACCACTCGCTTCTTCGAGGCTTGTGACCTGGACAACGACAAGTACATTGCCCTGGAGGAGTGGGCCAGCTGCTTCGGCATTAAGGAGCGTAAGTACTGAGTTGGCAAGGAATGGGGAATGGAAAGGACGTGGAAAAGCACCCCCAAAAGCCCACACAAAGCAATGAATTACAGCCGGTCCTGGGGAGGGAAAAGCAGTGGAGAGCAGGGAGCGGGGATCCCAGCAATGGGACTTTGTCAGTATCCACCTCCTAACCTTGTCTCTCTCTTTTCCTTCCACAGAGGACATTGACAAGGATCTTGTGATCTAAACCCCCAGCTTCCTCCTCTGCTGCCAACTTTGTCTTATTTTAACCTTCCCACTTCCTTTGGTTTTTAAACCGCTTTTGTTTTGTTTTGTTTTGTTTTTCCCTGGGAACAAGGTGCTAATATAGACCTAAACATATGTAGGAATGGTGCTAAGAGAAATAACAGCCCTCATTCATAGCCTAATCTATTACCACTAGATTACTCACTCTGTTTCCACAAGCTTCCACCAGCTGTTTCTCTCTCTGACGTGTCTTTACCATTGACTGACCCTGTTCCTGTCCTAAATATCCTCTCTGTCTCAGTATCCGCTCTCAGATCGACTTCTCTTAACATCTTACTAACAGCACGTTCTTGGACACGTCCGCATTAGACGCAAAGACCTCTCAGCTGATTCACAGCCCGATATTGACCACCAGCAAGGGAAGGCAGAGCAAGGGAAGGCAGAGGATGTAGGAGGACTGTGCTTTTCCAGCAGAGCAGCTGTGGGTGACACTGAGGTTGCCCAGCTCGTGGTAGGGGGATGGAGAGGGATGAGAAAGATACAGAGCGGTAGGATTTTGTTTTTCCCACTTCCCCCCACCCCATTCCCAGGGATTGAATTGAACAATCACTAGGCACAAAAAGAAGGGCTAATCAACCAAATGGATAGGCAAGTGCACAAAATTCAGAACCAATGAGATGAAATGCATCCCACCCTGTAAAATCCTCTCCACCAATAAAGGTTTGAAAGTGCTATGTGCTTTACCATTACTCGATGACCGTACTGCTGTTGTGTTTCCTGTGCTGCAAAGGGCGAGCGGGTGCAGCCGCCTGTTCCCCTGGTGTGTGGGGCTGACCTTGCTGTTGCTGAGATAAAGCTCTTGGCTCTCCCCAAATCACAGTGCCCCTGAGCACTTCCCACCTCTGCCTTGGTTGTGCTCAAATTCCAGCCCTGCTGTCCCAGGGAAGCTGTCTTGGAAGGGACATTTCTGCATAGGGAGAGTTGTGCTTGCCACGGGCTCGAGGGAAAGGCTGTGATTTATTTTTCCTGTTGTGGATTTCAGGGTTTTAGGGATGGGTGGGAGGAAAGGGAGAAGATATTAAGGTATTTGGATTTTGCTTTATAGAGAGCGTCCTGACAGGAGCGAAGGGATGGTTATGTCTCGCAGGCTGAGAACTCCTTTTTTACCTCTGAATGTTCCCTGTGCCTTATATTATTAAATTCCTGCCACAGTGTGAGCAACCTGATGAGCCTCTGTAATAAAAAAAATACTGATTTGAAACACTGACAATAAATGAGCTTGCAATGTTCCTCTGTTTTGTCTCATCCCAACGAGGGGGATTGCACATGCATCACCAACCTTGTGCGTGTGTTCAATAGAAGTATCCTACCCACGGGGAAGAGTCTGGTCAGGGTGAGATGAGGTGCTCCTGCCAGTCACAGCCCATCCCCTCACTGTAAATGGGGTCCTTGGGGTATATTAGATGGGTACTACACAGGCAGACGGGGTCACTGCAACAGCCAGCACAGACACTCACATGGATCTGAGGCCCTTGCTTTAATGAGCAATAAAATCCATGGGAAAGGTGAAGAGGCACAACAGCAGGAAAATAAACACCACCATTTGCATGGGCTAAAAATACCCACATTGCAAGAGCTCTGCTTGAGCTGTGAGGTGCCCTGCCAACAGCCCCTGGCTGGATGTGCTGTGCTCCAGGCAGAGCCGTAGGACGGATCCTGCTCATGGTGTCTCCTGGCTGCAGAGGCCAGAGCAGGTCCCACTGGGGATGGTCACTGTGCCGCTGCTGTTCCAAGCTGTTTGGACCCAGTGGGAAAGCTGATGGCCAGAGGGGCCAAATAAAGGTCTTCCCCCCTGCCTTGAACCCCAGGGGTTATTCCATGCAGCCACACTGCTTCCCAGCAGAGCCATTAACCAGAGAGGGGTTTCTCACTGGAGATGCAGCAGATGCCACCTTGGCAGGTGAAGAGGGGGGATTTGGGCAGGAAAAGCACAGGGAGGCAGGCAGGACTGAAGGAGATCGGCTGCCCTGTGTGAACCTGCTTTCCAGTCACTCCCTCTCAGCCAGAAACTCCCACTCCTGCTCCTCTGCCAAGACACAGATGCATTCCTGCCAGCTCCAGCCCTCCCCACCGGCACTGCCGGACAGCAAGGGAAGGCTCTGCAGCCCTCGTCCCCTCTGCCTTCCCCTCTTGGGAAGGAATCAGCTCTAAACCAAAGCAAGCTCCACTGGGAGAGAGATCATGGCTCAGGAAGGCAATGGGCTCCATCTCTACATCCATGTCCCATCCCAGTGGATGATACTCACGTCCAACAGCCTGGCAGAGCTCAAAGGACCCCCAGCTCAGTGCTACTACAAGTGCAGCTATCCTGGCTTTAACTCATCATGCTCATCCTGAGCATCAAAGTGAACTCAGGAGGTTGCAGCTGGGCCTTCCTTAACCCTTCAAAGATCACAGCCTGAAGTCTCAAGTTGCTGGAATTTCCCTGCCTTGGGGCTAATGCCGTACATGGGGTTACATCAGGACTTGAGGAATAAGCTGGCCTTTTTAAGCTTTCGGAGCTAGACGGTCAGCAAGGGTGGAACAGAACAGCCCTTCCCCTGTTACAGCTGAAATCGAGCTTCCCAGTGCCTGCACAGCGCCTGTACTTTCCAAGTGGAAATTCTCCTTGTGGTTAGTGCTGACTGAGGACACAGTTTGCAAACTTGAAAAACAGAGAGAAAAATAACAGAGATTGGGGTCCAAAACCAGCCCGACACAAGCACAACCTGACCCGAGTGCTACAGTACATCTGCAGGCAGACATGGTTGATTCTGCTCTACTCGGGGCAGCACAAGGCAGCAGCTCACTGAGCATTGCCCTGCATCCAAAAGAGAAAAGATGGGAAAGACAAGGATTTGTGTAGGGATTAGTATTTTCCTGTCTGCTTTCCTGACCCTTACTTTTACAAAAGAAACAAACTATGGCATAAATGCTACATTAAGGTTTCTGGCTGAAATACTTATGCAGGGGATGCAAAAAGAGGACACTCTAGGAGCACTGATCACTCCAGTCACATGCCTAGGGACAACCTGGGCTCCAAGTCTCACTGTTTGCAAGGTGTAGCTGCACCCAGTGGTGTTTCTGCTCTATCTAACAGTGCCATGGGAAACCCACAGTGTTAAACCGATGTGAAAACTGGTATTTCATAGTCCTGAGCCTTGTTCTGCAAACAAGATTGAGCCATGTAACTGAAGGCTTTGACCCACATTCAGCTGCCCCACAGTGGTGGGGTTGATAGAGCTTCTTTTGCTAGTGCTTAGATACTTCACAGCAGTTGAAGCACAGCCGGACTTGCTGATGGGGAACCTCATCACAGTCTGGTCCAGCGTGGGTCCAGCCCTTGGCAGCGCCACCACCACCCTTCTGCCGTGCTCCAGCTCGTAGAGCAGCTCCTGAGCTGCCCATATCCACTGCAGAGCCTTCTTTTGGCTCAAACTGATGCGCGGATTGACTCCACAACTCGTTAAAGCTGTAAAGTAGGTATGCTGAGACGCACGGGGGTAATTCCTCAAAGTCATGCGTGCCTCAGTGTTGTTTCCCTCTACATTTATAAGGTTGCACCATACGCCTATACATATTCATGTCCTATCCCTGCTTCATATTACAATGAGCTAGAAGGTCCTTTGCGCCTGCGCAGTGCCCCCTCTGGTCATGGGCAGGGGTCTCAAGATGAAGTAAATGAGTCTTCCTCCTGTGGGTAGGGGTCTTCAAGATGAAGTAAATGAGTCTTCCTCTTCTTGAACTTTTCACCTTTTAGTCTTCACGTATGGCCTTAGGGTTTGGTCCCAGCCATCAACCATCTGCTTCTCCCCCTTAACAGTAGATTCAGGGGTCTGCTTTTCCCTATCAATAGGTGCTTATCAGTAGAATCAGGTGTCTGCTTTTCCTTGTCAATAGAACCAAGTGTCTGCTTTTCCTTATCAATAGTTAGTGCCTTTGTTCTGCTTAGTAGGCATGATAGGTACAGACAATACCTTTGTTTAAGCAAGCAGATTCCTCTAACCCCCCTGTACAACCCCCCTGTACAACCCCCCTGCATCAAAACCAGCCTAGGTATCTCAAGCTCAGTCAAAACAAACCCAGCCTCCGGTGGAGAGAACGCCGGGGGAAAACGATTCATGGGATGCAGCTCCCTGCCCGAAGGAAGAGCAGGAGGGAGTCAGAGCATCCTGCTCCTGCATCCCAGCGCGGCAGCAGCGGCGCGGCGCGGCCGGCGGGGGGAGCGGCAGGGCAAGGGACGGAGCGGGGTGGGATCGGACGGGAGAACCGGGGTAGGAGCTGGGGTCTGTATCTGCCGTGCTGGCGGTGGAGAGACCCGGTCCCACGGGAGCATCGCCCAGCCCACGGCTCTCCCCCTCGCAGCGGAGCATCTCGGCAGCAGCGAGATAAATGCAGCCCTGGTCCCTTTAGGGGCTACATCCCCACCCTGCTCAGCCATCCCAGCCAAAGATGCCCAAACCACCTCCAAGCCTTCCCAAAGCACACAGCACTTTTTAGTCTAAAGAACACATGGCTTCTGTGATGCTTTGTCTTTCGTTGATCTGCCTGCCTGCCGCAGTACCATTCCCTCTATTTTTTTAGCCTACTGGATCGTTTTAACTTGATTCAGTGGGGCGTAAAACTGCAAAGACATCACATTCCTTCAGGTAGGCTTAAGACAGAGTGAGGACACACACATACAGACAAGCACTGCTACACAATGATGCTGAAGTCAAATAAGGCTCAGTCTGCCTCTCAGATGCTCTCATGCCAAGGTAATTGCACAGTAGGTAATTATTTGTGTTGGGGACTATCCGAGTTTCTGCACTGGCCACAGGGAAGTTACACTGCTTTCTATTTCATGGCCTACCACACAAACCATGGCCATTTCCCAATTCAGCCCACTTTTTGTTAGCCTCAGTATTGCACTCCTAAGAATCACAGAATCAGTTTCTGTGATTCTTGGGAAATATCTCGCCCCAGGATACATTTTTATGTGCGTTCCCTACATTTTTCTTAATTTCATAATCCTTTTGATCACTGCTTCAGTTGGACCCAAAGGACTGTACAAGTCTCTTGTTATTTCTTGTCTAAACACCTCGCTGATCACCTTTACCGCCTGAGTTTGAGACTTCGCTGCTGTCAGCTACAGGGCTGAAATTCCCCATGCACAAAGCCAGGCCTGACCACAGCCTGATGGCAGCTGCCTGTGGCCTGCTATGGGACAATCCCCAGTGGCTGGGGCTCATAGGGCATTCCATAGCCAAGAGGAGTGTAAAAGCAACACTCAAATGAGCATCCAGTGCTGACCAGCCACGTGGTGCATTTCCCTCCCGTGAAATGAGGGGTCTACTGGAAACCAAACGCTCTTTCTCCACCAACCCCAACGTGCCCAGAAAAACTGCTTTGTCTCAGAATTGCCCATGCTTGACATTGTCTGAAAGCTGTGTTAATATCTGGGGCAAATATCACCACGTGTTTGCGATACTGCCTCTCCCTGACGCATCTGCTGTTGAGTGCAGAAATGAGTCAAGGCACACCTTTGGTCTGACCCATGTCCTCCTACTCTTCAGCACTAACCACATCTGCAGTCATGCCCTGTCTGCTTGGGCTTGAGCAGCAGGATGCATCCTGCAGGATTCCTGTTGTTTCCTCTTGGTCACGGTGTCCCTAATGAAATCCTTATCTACCATCAGATGATTCCTCCATCACTTAGGTGCAAGCTCCA